TTTGTTGCCTTGTGCTGGCAGGTGCTCACCCTTGCTGTTACCAATAAACTTTCTCTCTTAAGGCCCGGGGCGGTACCGCCGGAGCACGAAACGCAACCCTCTGCGGAGATCGTGCGTGTCGAGTGTGCGAAATGCAGGCGAGAGCGCGTTTGTGGCTGTCCGGCGCAACCCTCTGCGGAGATCGTGCGTGTCAAGGGCGCGAAATGCAGGCGAGAGTGCGTTTTGGATTTGGCGCGGGCAACCCTCTGCGGAGATCGTGCGTGTCGAGCGCGCAAAACGCAGGCGAGAGTGCGTTTTGAGGCCCGGTCGCGGGCAACCCTATCGTGCGTGTCGAGAGCGCGAAATGCAGGCGAGAGTGCGTTTTGCATTTGTCGCGGGCAACCCTCTGCGGAGATCGTGCGTGTCGAGGGCGCAAAATGCAGGTGAGAGTGCATGTTGGATTTGTCCGGCGCAACCTTCTGCGGAGATCAGGCGCGTGGAAGGCGCGAAATGCAGCTGAGATAACGCGTCGGAGTGGTCTTGCTTCACTTTGTGGGAGTTGGACTCAGAAGTGGCCAGTTTGTAGTACAAATATGGTTGCTTCTAGTGTGTGGGCAGTGATGTCACAGTGCCATGCGGATTTGCGAGGCCTTGGTGGAAAGTGCGTTTGCGTGGTGCCGGGCCACTGACTGGGGAGCACGAAACACACTGGCGTAAACGCGGCGTGTCGCTGGTGAGCGGCATGATTTGTGGTATCGTGGGACATTTTTGCTTCTAGTCTGTGTGAGCAGATCGTATGGCGACGCGAGGTTTGTGATGTCGCAGCGCCCTGCGGATTTGCGCGGCCTTGGTGGAAAGTGCGTTTGCGTGGCGCCGTGCCACTGGGGAGCGCGAAACATGCTGGCGTAAACGCGGCGTGTCGCTGGTGAGCGAGAGGATCGGCAGTAACACGGGCAAGGCTATCAGACGCTCTCGAGTGGAGAACACAGCGAGAGCAGGATATCAGAGACGCTTATGCTGATAGGAGCCGGCGAACTGCTTTGGATTATGTCACAGACCAAGACAACTACAGCTTTAAGTCCATAGAAGCGTGGCCTTTGGATGCTGCTGTCATTTACAGGCCTACGGATCGAGCATCGCTGTTGCTTGTAAGTTTGAAAGCTGCGTGTAGCTTGCAAGACATTGTGGAGACCTCGTCTTTGAAGGTCACTGTGGTTGTCACCATGTGCGCGCAGGAGATGAAGATCGAAGGTGCACCGACAGATTGGACGAAATACTTTCAACAACAAGATGTCTTTCACATCCAGTGTCACTTGGAGGACATGACATCACGATCATGACAAGCGACTCGTGTATTCCAAGATATTCCAAGCGAACATCGCTTGTCATGAAGGTGAAGTACACACATACTAACGTCACGATGACTCTTTTGTGGCAGCCGCTGATCGCGTCATTTGAGTGAAGATGTCGTAGGTTCGTCCCGGACAGTTTCGACGGACAACCCGCGACATAAATTAGCCTCGGTGTGTTGCGCTGAAGTCTCTCTGCCATTCCGCGCGCAAACCTTCCAGGTGCCACAACGCTTACAAGACATAGGGTCGATTGCACCAAGGACGCAAAGCTGGTCTTTTTTGAAGCAGCAACTGCACGGCCTCCAGTGCGGAATGTTCGTAAGCGACAATGAGCCAAGCGCGCAAAATCCCCGCGCTCCGATTGGTGCCACCAAAGCAGTGAAAGAGCACGTGCATGGATTTGTCCCGGGCGACCGCCAGCATGGACTGTTCGCTGCAGACGATTTTCCACTTACGTCCATTTCGTGGAAACTTCAGTGTGAAATGTACGTTCTTCAGTTCTATTCGAACCTCTTCAGCTTTGCACTTGCACAACTAAGGTTGACGTTGCGCTGCCGCTGCGTCGACGCATCTACGTCTACACCCCCTCACCTCTGTACATTTACATCTTCACACGCTCACATCCGCAGATCTACCTCTCCACCTCACCACACCCACACATCTGCACATCTATATCACATCTGTACATCCACACTGTCACTCCTTCAAAACCTGTCCTGTCTTTCTTTCGTTCTACATATCTTTTCTCTCGCCTCTGTACATTTACATCTTCGCACGCTCACATCCACAGATCTACCTCTCCACCTCCATACATCTACACATCTATATCGCACCTGCACATCCACACTGTCACTCCTTCACGTCCGCCCTCTCTTTCTCTCTTTCTATATATCTTTTCGACAGTGCTGGACAATCACATGTCCCGCTCTCGGGCCAACCGTCGTCTAGTTTTCATTGACGCACGTGCCAAGTTCCAAAACGCTTGTGCTTGCCAACCTTCACATTACTCGGTGTGGTCGGACTACAAGACTGCAAAACTCCATGTTTTAGACTTGTGTCCAGTGCTTAAGGACACAAGCAGCTTGGATGCAAGTGGACGATGGAGGCTCATTTGGATTTGATTAGTGATGAGTGCTTAGATGGCGCTCAGTGTTCAAACCATTTCAGTTCTTCAGTGTGTTTCAGCAGATTGCTCCAACTGCCTGCCGCAGATTTGCACTATAGATTCAAGTGGTTGATTGGCAGTTTTCTCATGTTTTTTCACAGGTTAAGGTTTGTTTTGATTTTCTCAGGCAAGGGACCGTCGAGGATGGTGTCGCGTACGAATTACTTGTGCGGCATGCGGCTCCCAGCCTCATTTAGAGTGCACCATGTCCACTCCACTGTCAGTGACCAGCGTTGGGATTGCAGGCAGTTGGCTCCTGCATCAAGAATGCTTGACAACCCCCAAAACAGCAACAAAGGAAGCCGAAGGAAACCTGTGCTTGGGTGAAAGGCATGATTTTGAACCTGTCAGTATTGTCAAGATGCCTGATATCACTTGCACCGAGGTGCCCACCAAGGTTGCACAGCGCTGTGTCCAGTCTTGTGGTCGAGATTTTCCATATGCGTTTTGGCAGCAATAAACGATTTCACCTGCAAGCACAGTTTGCTTGGCAATGGAAGAAGTATGAAGAAGTTCATCACATGAAAAGGTTGTATTTCCGAAATTGGATATATATATATATATATTGGCATAATTGTACATATGATAAGTCAGTCTGAGGCACTAGCTTCAGTGACTGTGAAACCATATGAAACGTATATGATCCGCCCTATCATTTATCCCGATGAACCATATCCTTCAGGGTTCAAAGCACCGCGTGCTTCCCCAAGGTTGCCCTGATGAATGACATCCTGGCATCCAAAGAAAGGCTTGGACGCTGTCGGCGTTCTTTGTACATGCGAAGTAGTTCTTGCTGTGGGAGAAATGCCGTGACATGTTTCACCTTAGCTTGCGGTCCATTTTTCTGGCAGGTATGGGTATCAGTACATCCTGGAGACTTGATGCAAACAAACGATGTGACAGTCACTGCAACACTGTAGACACATTGAGATGCATCTTGGCACGTCGGAAATCGGAAGCCCGAAAGACTCACAATCCTTTGTATGACTTTGAATCTGCCAGCCCTGAGGAGCTTTTCCAAAAGCTCGATGTGGACCATTCAGGGTGCCTTGGAAAAGTGGTTGATTGTGAGCCCAACAGGATGGTACATTTTCTGAAACTTGGACACGAAACTCAACGATCAAAAGATAAATTGTAAGTCACGAACCACTAAGGAGCCTTTCCGTGGGTGAGCTTCGAGGTCTCATCGGCAGCGGGGTGTGGAGCCTGAGAGGGCACAGGGAAGAAATATGAAGAAACTAGGAAATGAGAGAATCAAAGGGAGTTCAAGGAGCAAACAAAAAATTGGAAAGCATAAGAAAGATAGGTAATGAAGAAAGTGTCGTGTGGTTGTGTTGACATGTTCTAGTGAAATCGAATGGATCTCAACGCCGGAGACAGTCTCGAGGTTTTTCAGCTTGCAGGGCCCGAGGATGTCGACCGGTTGCTTGGGATCAGCAGTGTCTTGTGTGTTCAGTTGTTTGCTGTTGGTGCATCCTAACGCTTTGCTGCCTCAACACCTTTGGTGAGATGCGGAAGTTGACAAGAACAGCTGATTGAATCCATTGCGTTCATTGCAGGTTGCTTTCTTGGATGGACGTCAACAAGGCAGGGACCTTGCATTGGAATCCTTCAGAAGCTTGATGGTGTTGCTTGTTTTGCCCATAGGATGGCACTGTGTCCTTCGACGAATTCCTCAATGTGGCCTTGGAATTTGGACAAATTAGCAGTCGTGCAGAAAGTGTCTGGGACAAGAAAGTTTCACAGCAAGCACAGCTATTTGATGATTTTGCCTTCACTACTTGATGCATCTTTATGTTACGAGAAGTGCTTGAGCTGATAATGATGCCTTTGTCAAAGGGCAAGCCGCAGTTTTAGATTGCTTTGCATCCAGCCACTTTGCTAAAGCCAAGGTGATGAAGCAAGCACAAGCTTTTGGGCAGGGCTTGGTTTGCGAGGAAACTCGCTGCACATCCATTTGGTTGTTCACTCCATTTCCCTGTTTCGAAAACTTGAAGGCTTGAAGAACGATGAAGGTTTCTTCATGTTCATCAGACACTGACAACACATGGGTGCTATCTATTCAAAGAAAGACGCCAAACTGGAGAAGTCGTATGCGAAGCCGCCCACTGCCCTGCATAGGCTGGGCTTCTGCTGAACCTGCAACCTCCATAGGCGAGGGTTGCTGATGGGATTGAGCTAGAAGCACAGGTGGCAAAGCAACATGTTGCCGCCCTAGCAAAGAGGATGGCGCCATAAGTGTACCAATTACCAGGCAGCATGGAATAGCAAGGTCGCATACAGGTGAAGGAACGGCATTGGTCATTGAGCAACATCCAAAAGGGATCAAAAGGGTGTGTACATAAATCTTTATGTGAGAGGAACTATTTCATTGAAATCATCAAAAACCCTGTAAATCATTGCAAAGCGATATAGTGAACAACCAAAAGTGATTCTATCATGTCATTCAATTTCCCCTTTACGTAAAGCGATGCCACTTTTTGATCAAATTGGTGCCTATCTAGATGAGCGGGAGCTCCTTTTGTATCATTTTCTTATTTGTGCATGTCACAGATGAAGAGATCTAGAAAAAGAATCGCTGGGGCAGTGAAGGGGGAAAGAAGAGCTGCCTTGTGAATAGAATTCTCTCTCTCTCTCTATCTCTCTCGTCTTCCCACATCTACCCACATCCATCCATTCCATGTGTAAAATTGACACAGGCATCCGAAGCACGACCAAAAGCGATATAGCATGATATCATAATATAGCGAACAACCAAAAGCGACACCGACATATGGAGTTCCACCTTTGTGCCCACAGGTGTTGGAGCTCATTGCTTTCCATACGTTGGTTCTGCAAACCTCCCCTGTGGCCAACTTTCCTCCAAAACTCATCGCTCTGATAGAAAGCTCTTCATTCAATAGAAGAGGGCTTGCTGGCTGTGGGTCGTGGGCCCCTCCGGGTGGTTGGCGTGGCGGGTGCAGGTGGATGCATGTGGGAGGAGTTTTGTCCTCGCCCCCAGGGGTGTGATAGGTTGGTTTGCATTGGAATCCTGGGGGTGGTCAGTGCTTGGTACTGGGATACAGCACGCAAATGGTCACTGTGGCCAAAGCACATTCGGAATGTGGTGTAAGTTCTGATGCAACATGTTCAACATCATGGTGCCGAGGGTGGCACACCTTGCGGCAGCCAACGTGAGCCAAGAACACCACATAGTTTTAAAAAGTGTCAGCGATCAAAACGCCGCAAAACGCTATGTCAGATGGTTCTTGGGCATGGGATCACATGCGCCGAAGTGTTCCAACAGCGATCACAGGTGCTGGGCGAAGCTTTCAGCCGCGCGAGCCCAACATCGGCGCGCCACGGGCCAAACGTCGCCACCCAGAAGTTTGACTTTCTCGGTTGGCCTTTTTTTTCGGGGGATACAGGATACAGTCAATACATGTCACTCCCTGAAATTGTGGAAGTGGAAAATCTAAGAAATGGTCGTCCCGTTTGTATCGAGAAATGGTCGTCCTTTCGGGGCCATGGTCCACTTCGATAATTGGGAGTGGATGTATGCAGCGCCTTCATGTACCTTCTATATTCGTTGGCATACTCGTACTCTTTTTGTTATATTTTGTCGAATCACAGGCACTTTGGTGGGTTCTTCCCCTTTCGGGTCTCCTGCACCGCTGCACCTTAGCTTTGTGAGAGGTGGGATGCCCAGCCAGCAGCAAGGCGAAAGGGATATCACACACTGCTGGAATCAACAAGAAATACTGTGCGGTTTGGAGATGTTTGCCGGGTGCAGAGCAGAGCTGGCTGTTTGCTATATTGTTTGTTGCAAGCTAGTCAGCCATCAAGTGACTTCACTTCACACCAGCCTCCAGGAAACCACCCTGACCTAACTTGAGGCGTGGATTCCTTGGGGCAGCGGGCACAGCCAGTGCAGCAAGCGTCTTGAGTTGCATCATCAGGAGCGCCATAGATGTTGAAAAATGCTCAGTTGCCCAGATTCTGAGGAAGTTCAGGTTTGGAGACTGCGAGTAGGCATCCTGAATGCTGAAGGCATCTTGGAATCCAGAAAGGGGAGGGAGACATAGGAGGAAGCCCAGAAGAGGCAGTCTTACAATATTCCTACGAGAGAAGAAGCCAAGATGATCCAAGATGGATTCGCAAGCAAAACGTGATGGATTGTCACAAACGTGTTTTCAAACAGGAACCCTTCTGACAATTAAATCCGGTCAATGGGTTTGAATCTGAGCCTTGCAAAGGTGCACCCTTCATAGATCCAATGCAGTTCCACTCTGCCTACGTGATTTGCTCTTTGTGCGGTGAAGACCCACAATCCGACGCAGTGGAACTCTTTCGCACTCATGCAGCCACCTGTCGTCCGCGAAGCGTACGAAGCAGCTAGAAGAAAGAGGTGTTGCACGATGAGATAATTAAGTACTTGTAGTTAAGTAGTTGCTTTGACGCAGAAAAGCTTTTGTTCCTAGATGTTGATCAATCCATAGTTGTTTATGCTGGAGATTCTGCAGGTTGGCTACAGTGGACAAGCGAGTTGGAATATCGAAGAGGATTTGCTTGACTATCAGCCACCCGACGGTTTGGAGCTCTCTGTTGTTTGCCAAGGCGCAGGCGCCCCGCACAGAAACAGGGAATTAGATGATGACGATGATTCACACCATGTGCAATGTCGAACCCTGTATCGCTGATATTATTTAGTGGGCAATTTGTCCATGGTTGCTTCTTCCCGAGAATTGCATGTCGTAGGGCTGTCATCCTTGCAGTGTGTTCTTCTCTCTTGGCCATGTTTGAGGAAATTCTGAATGGCTCCTTGGAAGCGTTGCTCAGCAGAAATTAACTACGTTGTGGGAAGGTCAGCCTGAAGGGAAAGCAACAGAAGCAGCATGACCAAGAGACAAGTAAGCTTCTAGCTACTAGTAGCGATGCCCTTGTTACTAGTAGCTTCTACTTCTACATCTTCTACTGCTTGCTGAGTGATTCTAATTCCATGTTTCCCAAGGCACGGCTTCAGCATCGGCAATTCTTTCCCCTTGGCTGCAATACGCGCCTTACCTTGGTGCGTGCTGCTGAAGGTATTCAAGGCACTGATAAAATAATGTGCTGCTGAGCAAACTGTCGGTCTCGATTTGTCTCAACTCATCCCCATGCTTTCCAGGGACATTGTGGGTGAAGGTTCTGGTGATGGAGGACAATGGCACGCCAGTCTCCGCCTCTCGCTAACAATGGTGTTTTGCGTGCTTGTTGCTTGACATAATTATCGGAGGCACAGAAGCTCTGTATATTGTGGTTGTGTTTCAAGATGCAGGTAAACCACTTGATGAATTGTCCATTGTGTTGGGGTAGATGATGATACATTGGAACCATGTTGAAGCAACAAACATGCAATAAGAAGCTGACAAGTTACGTTGCTGCTGAACGGTTCCCGCTCAGGAAGCTCCGTTGCAAGAGCCTTCGCCTCCAAAGAAACAACAACAATGGGCAGGCATTTGGGCCACTGAAGCTGCCACAACTCATCCCACTGAAGTTACCAGTGTAATCAACTCTCACCAGGAATTATACACGTCACGTTGGCAGCATGTATGTCGTGGCATTGGATTGACTTCTGACTAGTCTTTAGCTCAGTTCATCCTGGCTACCACGAAGCTGGAAGCTTTGCCAATGCAACAGGACGATTGGTGTGAAGATGTGTTTACGCCAGCTAAATAAAAGACGAGTCGCAACAGTGTTTTGCAGACTTGGAAACTGGCCTGCCGCCTCATATTTGGCTCAGATTCGGTGTGCTCGTGCTGGAGGGTCTGTTTGATGTCCGCGATGTGATGTCGAGGGTGTTGGAGTGGGATGTCGACAGCTTGGCATTAAGTGAACTGTCCGACGAAGCCGAGAAGCAAGACCTTCAATTTGATCCAGATACTTGTCAGGCAAACAGAGGATGAATCATGATGAATCAGTGAATCATTGCGAGTACGTGTGTCAAGTTGGAGCGATTCAATCACAAAATGGACACTGTGATGTCAAGTCTCATAGGTATTGAAAGACAAGGATGTAAAGGTCAAATAAGTTATGGTTGTGGTTGTCTTTCGGAGTGTGTTGCGTTTTGTGTGTGACATATCTCTCTCCGTGTTTGTTTAAAGTTGCGACTCCGAGGACCTGGCTGAGTATGGCAGAAGCTTAGGCATTCCTCCAGAGCACCAAGAGGATAGCAACATCACTTGGGTTTTGCATCAGGCCTATCATGCACCCTTGCCTGCCGGCTGGACAGAACATTTGCATCAGGGCCGGGTCTACTTTTACCATGATGCTACTGGTGTCACAAGCTGGAATCATCCTTGGGACCACGTTTACAAGGAGCTCATCCAGCTCATCAAAGACAACAGCCCAAAAGACCATGAGCAGCGTGCTCAAGCAGTGCGTGACCATCTCTTTGAGGTGCATGACCGCTGTGTGGCCGAATTGGGCTGTTGGAGTGGTCCCTTCAGAACGGAGGAGGGTGACACCTACTATTTCAATGAAGGCACCCAAGTCAGTACCTGGGCGAATCCCCAAGAGGACTGCGAGTATGAGATCAGCATTCGACAAGTGGTGCTGCATCGCTGCTTGCTTGGACAGAAACAGGAGCACATAGAGGTTGTTCCAACACTAAACTTGCCGGGTCTAGGGGACACTGAAGGCCTAGGAGGCCTTGCCCGTGAGAAAGGGGAAGGCCCAGACACAGATGACCCAATCTCTGCGAGATCTTTCTACACAGCACGTGAAAGCGCGCGTGACAGTGCACGTTCGAGGTCAAAGGGCAGTGAAAGTCCTCCCCGCATCCGAAGCAAGGGTCAACCCGCCAGAGCTTTGGTAGATCTTGCAGTCGATCGAGTGACTGACGATCAGAATTTAGATGACACAAGAACCACTGCCACCAGCAAGGTCTCTCCAGATTCCCCGAAGACGCAGGACCCCGAGACCCAGGCAGGACAGCAGCTTGTTAGGGACGAGTCCATGGGTGATGAGATGGACCTTACTTTCGGTTGCCCAATTGCAATGCCGATGATTGACGAAGCCAGATCAGCCACAGACACAGACAGGGGTGACGGGAAAAGTGAACAGCTCGCACATGATGAGCATATCACTGATGCTTCCTCGTTTGATCTGCCGTTTGAGCAGATCAAAGAGCCTCTCTCAGGCTAATGCTGTTTGAGGCCAGTTCATGCACTCCTGTTCTCCTGTTCATGCTGTGCTTGAAAAGGGCCGCCACGACGCAGCACCAAATACCAGTGGTTCCAGCACATGCCAAGTCTAGAGTCTAACAGAAGCAATTTGTTTGTCTCGAGTCTTCTCGAGTGAGCCGGCCTTTGTGGCCAACTGTGCCAAGCAGACACCCCAAACCCTGGTATTCATCCCTCAGGAGCAAATCGTGGTGACATGGCAAGCAAGTCCAGACTCAAGTCATTGCCAAGAGCGGTGTTTTTGTTTGGGCAAGGCAGGCGAGGACTTGTTCCACCTGTGTAGTTTGGAGGCCATCGCTAGTAGGTTAGTAGGTTCGGCATGTGTTGTTCCATGTTGTTCCTCAACCTCAATGCAATCAAACCGCGAAAGCTTAAGGCATTCAAGTCACATGGGGAAAGTTGCTTGGCCGCCACCAGGTGTGAAAGAGTTATCCTTTGGGATTGGTTTTTGATGGTTTTTGAATGTTTACGATGCATGATGTATTGTGGTGTATATATATATATATATGTGTGTGTGTGTGTGTTTACTGTACGCTGCTTTGTCTTCCCCAATCAGCTGGAAGTTTCCGTGCATCTTTTTGAGGCGTTGGGTCGAAAATCGCCAACCACATCTGGCTGCTGTCAGACAGATGGCAGCTCTACAGCCACAGCCACTGCCTGCAGTGTTTTGCCTTCAACCGATACCGAACGAGCAATCTCGTACTTTGTCATGTTCCATTGCTGTAGTGGTAGTCGGGACTGTAAATGTGTTGAGCACTGCCTCGAAGAGATTTGTGATTTATAATGATTTATACAATAAATTACCACAAAAGAAGCTACTAGAGGCTCCTGGCATCGCTACTAGGAGCAAGGACGCTACTGGCCTTACATTACTACTAGGGACGAGAAGCTACTAGTAGCTAGTGTATCTTGGCTGAGGTGCCACAACATGTTTATGCACCAAGCCCGCAAGCAGGTGCCTGGGTTCGCACGCACCTTACAAATCTTGCAGAAGATACTTTGGCAGATATTCAGGGTTTCACGAAAGTTGGACTCATTACCAGAGGGTGCAGGTTGCGTGACTGAAGGCTGTATTCGTGACTCGCAACTCGTTGTTGCATGCGGCAACAGCACAACGTAACATCGCCTTTGGGCATGGGAGTTGAACAAACCGTGGTTTGCCCCCGAAAGTGGTCAGACATTGTCATGCCTCCACATTTGCGCAGTCCCTATGATGCCTCCAATGATGGTGCCCAGGCCGGAGGCTGTGGCAAATTCAGCAGGAACAAGGAAACCAAAGCATTACCTGCGAATTGCAGTGAAACTGAAAGAAAGCCACCGAACTGAAAGGAGCTGAGCTCGGAATCGCAGCATCCTTTAAATCATGTGTTGAGATTCGACCGCTCGTCAAGTGGTCGAAGCAGGGAGTTCCGCCCCAGGCGCGGCTGAGGCTGTCGGCAGTGCACACCTGAGTGGCAGTGCACCTGAGGCTTCCCCAGGTGTACGGTGTGCATCATTTCTCGTACTTCATTGGTCAATTTTGAGTGATGTGTTGGTTTATCATGTTTGCCTCATCGAACTGGTTACGCCGGGTAGAATGGTGGCTTTGCAACAATACAGGGAGCAGCATTGGAGCCAAGGCCGCCATTGCTGTGACACGTTTAAATGTAGCAACTGTGCGAAGCACATGTTCCACTTTTCGGTGAGTCGGCAAAGCTGGAATCCTTTGGTCAACCATTCGGTGTAAAGCTGTGCGGGTGAGCAGCTCCGCGTATGGATGTTTCAGAGTGTTTGGGTTTGATGAGTTCCCCCTTTGCCGCTTTTGGATCATTGCTGAGTCCGGCTGGCAAGCGGCCGGATTGTATTGAGTCTATGCCAAAGTAGCTGGATATTTTTTCGACAGGAAAGGAGCGACTCTTGATTTGAGTAGATCTCCAAATTCGTGACCTCCGCATCCACATTATCCGAACCCCCTTCGATCCAACTCCGAATTCCACAAATAATTAAATCATCACAAAATATCACAAATCACTTGCCCAGTGTTCCAGTTTATTTGAAGGGTGGACCAGCAGAAGCTTGCTTCTGCAAATTGTCAAGATGCCAGCTCGTGTTCCAACTGTAACTGGTGCACTGGTGCGTTTGTTTGGAACATTTGATTTGTGCTTTGTAGCCGAAGGGTCTGGCAAAGCTCCTGATGGAAGGGAAAACCAAAGGAGAGGTAGGATCAAACAGTGCTACACACCACCAGTAGCGAAACCCATAGTTTTGGGGGGTGAAAACCATGGCTTCCTGTAGATGTTCCCTTAAACCAATCCATTGAATCAGGTGAATCCTGCATGTCTCAGCATCCTTTGGGAGCCCGTAACACCCACGGCCAGGTCTACGACCGCATGCTTCAGCAAGGCGACCTTGCTCGCGGAAGCCTAGGATATGGCCAGCACAGGCCTTTTGCATCCTGCGCTTGGTGGAGTTTCGATGTGCAGTCACTGTCAGTCATACCTTTTTCATCTCTTCAATGTTTGCACACCAACTGTGATGCCTCCATGGCTACATCGTAGTTTTTGTGGGGGCTGTCGAAAGAAGATTATTGTATAAAATTGTATATATATATATTTATATATCCATTTGCTGCTCCAAAGATTCTTGGACCTTCCATTTGCCTGACAGGCTTACCTTCCAAGGGCCAGAAGGTCGAGACCCAAGTTGCATTTAAGTTCTGAAGCGAACAGATTGTGAAGGGTGTTTCTATATACGTTATGTGTAGGTACTTACAAAAGTTTCGCACATGCCTAGGTACATCCGAAATATGTATACTAAGCCTCTTAGAGTAAACCAACGATGATGGTGCTCAGCAGTAGGAACGGTCCATTACAGGTCTTCATTTAGTGACCTAGGGTGTGTTTGTCAATTGCTCTAGCGGACTGTCCACGTTTTCAAGTGCTGTGTCACAGAGTTTCACGGTTCATGCTGTTGCCACAGTCTCGAAAATGAATGGGTGCAAATTTGCCGCCATGCAGAGATGGATCCAGTGTCCTTTCGGCCATGGATTGCATTTCCCTTGCTAGTAGCGGCGTGCTGCTGTGCAAATGCCGAGCGGCAGTTTCAAGGTGCTTGGGGCAGGAATCCATTCTAGTTGTGGTATTTTTTTGTCTCAGAGTGCTGTTGTGGGGTTCCTGCGCTTGTCATGCTAATTTGTTTCCTATAATGAGGTCGTGATTGATATCATTTCATACTTGTTCAACTGCTGAATTTGGGCCAAGGCCTTTACACCATCGTCAACGTCGCAACTGAACGCAAACTGGTGGCTGATGCACAAGGCTTTTACACGGCTGCCTTTGATTCAATTCCAAAGACGCAAATCTGGAGCATAACTGCGGGTGAGAATGCCACACACACAATTCAGAATGCAGCTTCTGGGGCCGGGGTCTCAGGAAAGGAATTGCAGCGAACACTTCTCAAGTTTATTGGTATAGCCATATAGCATGCCTTGATGTTCAGGATGTTGCTGAGGTCAGGATCTATGCACAGGTAGGCCAAGAACGACAGAGGGGATTCTTTGTGATCAATTCAGATACTCCGGTCTTCCGAGATCAAAGGCGGGACAGGGAGCTGGTGTGAGTGTGCTCAGCTCACTATCACTGCGTTCAGCATTGGCGTGTTTTGGTTGTGTGCCAGCACCAACTTTGCCTTTGTGGCCTCGAATCAGGTGGGAGCTTCAGTGGCAGAAAGCTGGAGGAGGATACATCATCAAGAACCTAAAGTCTCAACGTGGCCTGGACTTGCAGCTTTTGAATGTTTGTTGTGGTGTGATTTTGTTTCTTGCTACCTATGGCCATGACAATGACCGCAGTGACAAGTCTGTTAGAATGGGCCTGGATTCTCGCCACTCGACTCGTCCCAAGCTGCGTCTTGGTCCGATGGCCTGTAGCCTTGGACCACACAGTGAGGTGCAATCTCAGATGGACCAGACGGGCTCATGGCGACAGTGGATTTGCAGCCAGGTTCTTTTTGGTGGATCATCTCTCAACAGCGGGATGAAATAGGCCGGATCGAAAATTTGCAGACTCACTAGACTCTAAACAAATAGAAGAGTTGAGAGACGTGTGTGTGTGTGTGAAACCCTTGGAGCCTCAGGGAACCTTTCGGTTATTGGCAGGGGGCACGGAGACTGATTTCCTATCCGTGCCAACGAAGCTACGGAAATCAGTTGGAAGATGTTGCAAGAGAGTTGGGACGCCAACTCTTGTACCTGCACTTTGATTTGGTTGTGAGGTTGAGTAACCACCTTCTCCTCTAACTGGCCAGGCTGCTTAGGTGACTTTGAGGCATGCAGACTTGCACGGTACCTCGATCGCTCTTCGTGACCTTGAGATTTGGAACTTGGAGGCTTTTGAGACTTAGATGATGTTCAGACCCCCTTGCTTAGCTCTTGTCCTGGTTTCTTAGGTCTTGTACTTAGGCTGGCATGTGGCAAGCCGCAAGCCATTTCCGCACTCAACTTTGCGAGCGTGTATATGTACGATACATAAATAAATACCTATAGATATATGTAGATATATATATAACATATATGTTTAATGTACTGTGCTGACATTGCTTGGTCCACCGGTGGGTGGTGTTCAAGCAGAAGATCGCCTGTGTTTCGCACAAGTGGGAGGCATGGAATTGGCCAAACTGGAACAGAGTGACGTGGTTCAGCAGTTCCAATGTCAGGACAGTTTTTTATAGTTTTTTTGGTCAAGCTGAAGAGCCCTGCAAAGCATGAAGTCCTTTCCCCCAGGACTACCAACCTGGTCGTGCAGAGGAAGCCTCCAAAAGGTGAGACGGGGAGATGTATATATATATATACACTCGTAGGTTTGTTTAGGGCTGAAGTTTGCAAAGCACAGCAACCTATCCTTCCATGATTCATTCTAGAAGCCCCAAAGCCTGTCCTACTGCAAGTTGGTTCTATTGGAAGCACATGGCAATGGCTTGCAAGAATTTGTTTGGTGTGGGCTTGGGCTTGTGCATGTCAACCAGCTTCGGACAGGTTTGGCATTGCAGATGGCTTGGAGGTGGTGGAAACAGATCACAAGTTCCTTGCTTGCTCCAAGCAAGATGAGACAACAGCTTTCTCAGTTTTCTCATTTTTGGTGGATTTTGCTGATCCAAATTGCAAAAGGATGGACCCGGCATGGTTTTCCAGCTCCACTCCACATTTCCGTTAGAAGACGCAAACAGAAAAGCCACCTTCCGGTAATCACAGTGGCTTGTTGAACAATTGCACATCGAGTACGTGATTTGAAGGCCGCTTGTGAAAACGGATGAAACTTGCGTTATGGCCATGGCGCATTTCCTTTTGGGTGCAGCTAACCGTTCTTGTGTACGCAGCATATTGGTGGTGGAAAAAGAGGAGGAGGCCGCAGATTCTGGTTACGCTCAGCTCAGCCTATGCGCGGGACGTTGTTCTTGCAGCTGCCAAAGAGTTGGGCATTACAATAGGCCCGGCATCCTGTGAATGGGCTGACTTTGCCAGACTCAACTGGGTTTCTCGGCGATCCTGCGGGTGGTGAAAGCCTCATGATTAATCTCGAAGACTGATGTTCTCATGGTGACAAGCACCCATTTCAGCAGAACTGTACTAGACTATACTAGACTTGCTAAGTCTCTGCAACAGTAAGCAAAGTAGAAAGCAACTAATGTTGTTTAACAGCTCACACCCACATCATGGTTTCTGGTCGTGCATGATAGCCCGATCGAATTCCAATTGGTTTTGTCCGGCCAAATGTAGTTTTGTTTAGCTGATGCCGTCACCAAAACATTTCCAAAGATTTGGTTTTCAGTTTTGGATTGCGCGTCTCTAGGATACGTTTTTTTCCGATGCTACGACTTTGCACCGACGCTCAAGCCTCTACTTGCGCGCTTCGTTGGTGCGGAAGGGCATGTTGGCATACTTCCTAGCCAAGAAGGGCGTGGTTGATGTCCCCCTGCTTTTGATCCAACTGTTTTCCTTTGATTTCCTTTGTATCCTTTTGCTCGTCCACATCCCGGATAAGTCAAGGGCCATGACTGTTGGGTGTTCTAATATGACACTGAACTCACCTCAGGTGATGCCGAAGACGCTGATTGCCGACATCGAAGATCAAGAAGATTTGGATCATTTGCCTCGTCGGGTGTCAAAGTGGATGGGCAAGGAAAGTACTGGGGATCAGCTCGCCAAAAAATCGGTAGAATCCGGCTTGGTGCTGAAAGCTTCAAATGCCAACCGCGGAGAGCACATTTACTTAGTGCAAAGTGCTGCGGAAGTTTCTGCAATACATTCGTCTGTGCTGCAAAATGTGACCGAATGGGTAATTCAGCCTTACCTGAAATCTCAATTGCTGGATGGTCGCAAGTTTCATGTACGCTGCCACTTTGTAGTGGTTGGATGCCCACGGTGTGGTGCATCTAGAGCTTGGCTGCATGATGAGGCAGTCATCCTTCTGGCTTCTCAACCATTTACTGAAGACCTTACACAGATTGCCGCCCACTTGACCAACATGTGCCAACAAGAGAAACACCCAGACTACAATGAGGGAAGACAAATTCTGCTTCTCAGTCTCTTGAAAGCATCAGCAGCCGAAGAGATCGTGGGTCGCAACAGGGCTCCAGGTTGTGGAGCCAAATCAATACAATATAACAAAATACAATCAACTGGCTGGAATCATTATGCTTTCTGAATCTCCATGAACCCCATGGTTTCAGGCAGATTCACTTCCTGTTGTTGTTTCTCCATTCTGCTTTCAGACTACATGATGATTCTATATTGCCCAACCCTCACACATGAACTGGTCATGACATCATGCGAATCGCCGACTGGGTGAACAGACACCAGGCATCAATCAATAGCTCCTTTGAAAACGGGGGGTTTTCAAAACCTCAGGCCAACAATGGGCTTTGCTCCAAGCAAAGTTTCAGTGACGCCGTTCCAAGTCCTCACTCAAATACAAGGTCGAGCCGGAACTGAGTTGGAAGTGCTAGAGTGCTAGTTCAACTGCTACACGCCAGCTTGATTGAACTAGTAACTAGCTTCAGAGGTGTTTCTTTGGAATTCCAACCCCCAAAAAAGGAACTGAACTGGTTCGCGGCTAAAAAAAGGCGGGGGGATTGGATAATGTCCGCACATCACGTCATTCCTCCTGCAGTTGGGTTCAGGTTACGTCGGCTTTCCGAGAGTTGCTTTTGTTCCATTTTGATTGTTTTTGTCTAGTCTCGTTCGTTACATGCTCTTAATGCGGAAAGTCAAAGCACGTTCAAAGTATCAACACATGTTGATGGGAGATGATGGAAGTGCATGATGTTCCACGCGAACAAGGCACATTGAAGGACAGCAAGATCCGTCCTGAAGAATTGTGGCCACAGTTCACGCGCCATCTCTCTGCCGCACTTGGTGCCGCTGAAGCTGGCCGTGCTGGCTGGTCACCTCTGCCACAGTGCCCGGATTCATAGATTTCAACCAACAATCCAGGGTTTGTGCTCCTCAAGTGGGGTGTAGGTAGACGACCACTATAATTACTGTAAACATATTATTATGTACATCATCACATATACAGTTACATGTATAGTATAGTTTGTGTAATATTATATATATAGTCACATTTAGTTTGACACGTTCATTGACCTCAGCTCATCCACCTTTCTTAGCTACCTTGCCCAAAGGATCAACTGCCTCAGTCACCTGTAGGTGCTTTGAGCTTTTCGGAGCAGACTTTCTTCTTGAAGAAGGCTCGATCCGGCGGACGCGGATGGACGGCCAACAACCTGTATATATAGTTTTATCATCGTATCATCCGTTTCTCAGGTAGGGTAGAGAGAAGCTCCACCACCAGGCGCAATGACCGCACCATCGGACCCTTCGGGAACCCATGGCCACAGAAATTGAGGACCGGAATGAGTGGTGATTGGTCATTGGTCCTTTCTTGTTTCTGACTGCTAGGGCAGCAGCCCAAAGCATGGCTCTTGGAGGTCAACGCCGGTCCTGATTTGGCGGTCTTTGGTCACAAGCGCTATGCAGCAAAACGATTGGTCAGGGATGTTTTGGAGACTGCTGTGCTGCCGTTCCTGCACCTCAAAGAGGAGCCATTCTTACAAAGCGACAGGTGTGGCTTCACAAACATGGCTTTGTCCGTTGTGCCAATGTGTTTCTTAGTCTTGAGGGGGGGACCAGCAGCTGCCAGAAACGCTTCACTCGACCTAGAACAGACTCAGACCGCGAGATTGACATCCCACCGCCAGGTGCTTCTGTCAAGTTGCAAAGGGAGGATTCTTTTCGCGAGAGCTTTGGTCTCAAGCATCGACCACCGCGTCACCTCTTTGCGAGTTGAAGGCCTTTCAACGTCGATTGGAAAATGCTGCGCGGTTGGCCAAAGAGCTTCATAGCAACAGCAAGTTGCCACTGCGCGGACCGCAAGGCGAAGTAGCGAGCAGGCAGTTGTAAAAGGTCTCATGGAAATGGAAGGGTGACGCGGCTCCTGTAGTAATAAAGCGCAATGACTCAATTATTTCATGCTGTTATATGTATTTGAATGTATTTGAGCTCCATAGGAAGCCCGCTCAAAAGAATACAAATACATATGCGACATCATTGGCGGTAGCATTGTTTTTACATTGCCACGCGAAACACAAAGGTCCTCAGGCTCCAAGAGTCAACCGAGGCTTGCTTTTCTGGCAGTTCCTTGGTCAAAAAGTCGACAGCTTGAAGCAGGGGGTGCTGCCAGTCTTGGCTACTGTAATGTATTGTGTGTGTCATTGTATTTCTACAGGTTGGAGGCCATTGCTATAAGGTCGGAGTAAAGCCTATTGTTCTCTTTTTTTGTTTCTACAGGCCTTCGCTCGGGAGTCAGGTCATCTTCATTCTGATGGTGTTTCGCTTCTTTCGGGGGCGGGGTCCCGACCCAGATGACTTCAGCTATCACATCTACAAAACTGAGGCCAGGACTCGCGTGGAATCACGAGCCTCCCTAGGCAGTAGCTGCACAGAGACCTCCATCGACCTCCCGTAAAGCAGGGTCGTGCGTTGGAAGTTTGCTACTTTGGTTGTGAGTTGGTCCATGATTTATTTTGGATTGTTCAACAGTTCAGGTGGAAAGTAGCCAAGGAATGTCAGAGGGAGAAAGTTACTGTTGCAAGGCAACACTTTGGGTCTCTCGCCACCCAAGTTTGAGCCCAACATGCTCACAGCGTTGCATCAGGCCGATGGTGCTCCTGTAGAGCAAGTGGTGCGGGTGCAATGTCCTGGTGTTCGTCACGAAGACATTGAGGCGAGAGCTGCCAAGGCATGGTATATAATTCAACTACAATATGCCCTTGTGGCTTTGCGCTAACATGCTTGCCGGTGTGAAGAAAAGAATCTAGCAAAGGTCAAGGCACTTTGAAATTTGGCATATCTGGCTATATACATGAATTTTGTCCGGTGGGGGGAAAGAAACAGGAGCTCGAGCACAAATAGAAGGCATGCCACATGCTGCCCAGGTCAAATTGATTCCGAATGGCTGTGACGTCATCCTGCACCGCCGTGCACTACCGGGTTTGAAGGCCTTTGCTCACCTTGTTTTGATGATTGTGCCTCTTGCCTAGGATGCAACTGCAGCTGCTGCCGCAGCCCATGTTTTTTGTGGCTACTTGCACACCACCTTGGGTTGCTTGCTACTTAGTAGCGTGCTGCTGCTGCTGCTGCTGCTGCTGCTGTGCCCACTGCCCTGCCAGGAACACTGATCGACACAAACGTTGATGCCTGTATGCGACCCGTACATGTTGGCTGAATTGATTTATCGAAACACCAGGAGATTTGCTGGAAACACCGGTTTCACTTCAGCCTTGCTGACGGTTTCTTTGAGTTCGTCGAGGAGCGGATGCAGCTGGAGCATGGCAGCTTCGATTTGGTCAGCATTGCAATTTGAGCTTGACACAGTCAACACATGTCAACACCAAATCGCGTAGGAGAAGGGATAGAAAAGTGGATGGTATCCCCAGTGCACGTGCCATCATGTGCCCCTAAAGCCAAGGATTTCTCATTCTTGTCCTGCGAGCGGTCAACCAAGATCGGACCATCCGCTTCGCTCAGCACTTTCAGCACTTTTGCATGGATGCCTTTGATGATGAGAAACTCAGCTTCATGGCCAGGAGTTGTTTCAAGTGGCACAAGCCATGGATCCAAGGCTCAACTGGGACTACCCTACCATGGATGCAGCTGAGACCAGCGTCGGCAAAGCACCAAAAAGTGCGGACATTTTGTCTGTGGCTGGCAGCAGCAAAAGCACATCGCTGTCATGACTGACACTCATGACTGTGTCGGTACAAACATTGTGCCGCTCAATCTATTGAGATGCTGTTCCGTCGCGAGACTTGAAGCAGCCATGTATACAACAGATGCTCCAGCATGGGGCACACCTTGTGCCTGCAAATTGATTTGTGGAAGAATCCTGGAAGCTTTGGGAGTGAATGCTTTTGATGGAGCCATCGCCTACAGAGTGCTTTGATTTTATCATGAGCAATGATGAATAAAGCAAAGGCCAGGATCCCACCACCTGTAGCTTTATAAAGCTTGATAAGCTTGAGGCGTCCAACTGAGAAGCCTTGTATGCCAAAGGGTTAATGCATCGCGTGCGACAGGCTGCATGTGCTTTGGGAGCTCAAGCGCTCAATTTTGTCAGCAGAGCATCCTCCTTAAAGTCCCTTTGAATCTCCTTGAGAACAACGGTTGTTCAATGCTGCCTAAGCACTTTGCAATCCCAAGCCAGACTGCGGTCAAAGAGGCCGACTTCGCTTCAATGTTCGAACGTATTCGGAACAATATGTTTAGAAGCTTGCAGTTCATGGCTGCTGCATCCCAGGCAGGCCAGTGCTGAAAGCCAGAAGCTCAGCTCAGGGCCACAGAAGGCATTCGTTGGCACCGATCTCAGTTCAACAGGGCACCCACGAAGGAAAGTGACGCTAAGGCGTTCATCAGATTACACCGAAAGTGGAACCGTTGGCACGTCCTACCGATTCAGCCACCCGTTGTTTGCCTGGTAGCCTCATGAAACTTGCTTGCTCAAACAACTTATGCACGTCCTATATGCAGTATTCACCCCCAGTTGTCCTGATTTGCCCACACTGTCTCACCGAGACAGTGCAGGCAAGTGGCATTTGGGTTCTTGCGTCCGTTTTTAAGGAAAATAGACCCCGGTCTCATCACTCAGAGTGTAGGGTGTGTTGCACGCCACCGGCGACGACTTTTGGTGAATACTGCGACATTGTGGCCCACCGATGCTTTTCGAAACATGTTGTGTATGTTATGTTTGTTTCAGTTTCCAGCTTTGACACTGCCCTTGTGTGTGTATGTGACAACCGTCAAGTCAGACAATGCACTGGACAATGTGAGACTGCATCCAACGAAGCTCCTTTTATGCTCCCAAAGTATCAATCACTAGCGACCCCGGTGATTTAACTAGGCACTAGGCTCTCCTTCTAGGGTTCAAGGCTGTTGCAGGTGCTGCCGAGCTGCTCGTTTTTCTGTTGTTGGACCATTCCCGCCCTCCTGAAGACTGTCGACCTTGAGTTGACCTTGCAGACCGACTGTTTGGTTTCATCCTTTTTAGTGTTCAATTGACACCCTGATGACTCAGACTGGAGCACTTTCATGGCGAAAGTTATACGGAACTCGGTTGTCCTGAGGTCATGCCAACTCGCTAATCACTGAGCCAACCAATCTCTCCCAACAGAGGCGCATATCATTTCATGTACTTGGTTTCTGACATGAGCAGCAAGCTTGTGGAGATATGAAGGTACTGTGTTCCCTTTGTTTGTACAAAATGGTTGCCACAAGCATAGACTGGTTGACTGCAAGGGGACATGCCAGTACAATGAACATGCGCAGCTCATGAGCCAACCTGAGCAATTACAAGACTTGCCGATGCCACCACCTCTATTCCGGTAGCCTTGAGCAGCATCCTGGGCCCAGTTTGTGCATCATGTCACTCGTCACATTGGTATGACGCAAACGCGTCGGCTTGACAGCTTAGGAGCAAGTGCAAGGTCCGTTTTCTGCTTGTGCCATGATTGTCAGAGGCCTGGGGTCATGTTTCGTCAGGACGGGCACTTGCTCCTGATGTTTTTCCGTTGCAAGCCTTGGAATTGGCTGCGTCGCCAGCGCAAATGCTCATGTCAGTCAGTTGGTTGCTGTCGAAGTGGGACCAGGTTAATCGGTTAATTATGTTTGTTTCACTTGCGGGGCCAAGCGGCGGATTTTGCATTCTTGGGTCGATGGACATTGTATTTCTTGCAGCTGCGTGGTGACTTAGCAGCCTCACCGCTGCGAACATGTTGTTCAGGCTGCGACGAAGCCTGCTTATGGATGCTTTTCACGGGTTTTAATTGAATACGGTAAAGTGAAGACAATGATAGACATTGTGAATACAGTTGCTTCCAAAATGGAACCTGTTTCTTCAGCTGCAATCTCAAGGCTATAGTTGCTACTAAAAAGTGGGGTGAAGTGTCTTCTGATCTCTGGCTTGGATTTCCACGCTCCCAAGGAGCCGCAATGGAATCAGACAGAAAAGGTTCATACAGTACAGTACATTTTGGAAAGTGTCACTTTGGCAGCCTTTTGTGGAACTACTGCAACTGACTTACTAGAAGTAGTAGAGCCAGTTTGGACTTTGTTGTTCCATGAGCTAGGACACCTGCCGTTGAGTGCACATTTTTTTTGCTAAGCATATGTTGTTCACTATGCTCACCTGGATTTTGTCGTGATTTGCTGGGAAAGGCTCATAGGCCATAGGCATTTTCTGGGGGCAGGTCTGAGCAACAATCTCTTAGGGGACGAGGCATGAGTAATGGCACAAGAGATTGTCACAGGCTCCCTTTAAGAATTTCTCTGAAATGGTCTCCATGTTTGCCTTAACTGTCCAGACAGCAAGCTGGGTGTTTCCTCATTTGCATTTGACTGAAAGGTCGTTCAGAAGACTTGTTCTCAACAGCTAGTGCCCCCTCAAGGGGGGTTTCAGCGCCATGGCGGAGGAGGAGGATGCGGCATCACCGGTGGGGCAGACTGGGCAGACGCTGTTCTTTCGCTGTTCTTTCGAGAATGCTTATGAGTGTTGTGAACTTTTGGTAGCAATATGTTGTGCCTCGTGTTTGTGTGATATGCTGTCATTGTAAGACTCGGGGCATCTATCCAACCTACCCTGAATCGCAAGGACTCTTCTTGGGCTGAGTGCATGCTTGGAACTTTCGAATTTTTTATGTTTATGTACTTTGACTTTGATATTACTTTGATTGTCCTGTTGGGCCATGCTGTTTTTGTGGCAGACCTCTGGCTTGAAGTTCAACAAGGCGCGATCCAATCACGCAGCGCAATAGTGACGAGAGTCTCGAGCGGATGGGTGCAACCTGAATAGCAATGGCCTCCAACCTAATAGCAATGGCCTCCACCCTAGTAGCGATAGCCTCCAACCTAAGTAAGTAGAAGTTGGATCAAAGTTTGGTCAAGAGGATGGCCAGACTGTTTGAAAATCAATCCTGTTCTGTATTTCCCTGTGTTCTCGATTGCTCAATAGATGTTGTTCTTGTTTTCAGTGGTTGTAGGACCACACGTTTCCTGAGGCAGAGGCCATGGATACCATGCAGGCCTGGCGCGGAGTATGTTGGCTTAGCCTGATGTTCCTGCCCAAGATGAGATGAACAAGACCTACGAACCAGTATAGCATACAGGCAAAAATAAAGTAGTACAACTTTAAACATCATAGAAACATTTGTTTTTTTCTTTTACCTATTTTGCACACACAGCCGGTGAGAGGACATGGGGCAGGTACCTTCCAGACAGCAGTTTCATTGTTTTCTGACTCCGTCAAACGATCCTTTGCCGTGCAGACATTACATGATATCACAGCCCCTCCAAAAAACGTGCTGCGGAAGTGGAAGCGAGACTTGGAAGGATGGTAACACATGGCAGCTGTGTCCACTCTTAACTGTTTGCAAGAGTTTACAGCTTCCACATTATGTTTTTGGTCCGTTTGGTGCACGGCCAGATCCTAGAAGATCCGATCTACGCAAGGGAGGTGGTGCCTGCTCCTCAATGCGTTGCTGCCAGTGAAGGTTGGCTTCTGTATGCTTTTCTAATGGCTTTGTTACTTTGTTTGCTACAGCATGCGAAAGCTAGTCGAGGCATTGAGATAGATGTGCACCCGAGTCGCTAGAGCTGGAGACTTTAACTACACAAAGGAGCCTGTTAGTTCAAACACATTCCAACCACTGTCGTTGCAAAGTTCAATATGACCCCAATTTGTTTCCCATGTTTCACAGTTCCTTACATGGAAGTGGAACATAGACGCCTGGAAGATAGTTTTCGCACGGGGGGATTTGCTTATATAGCTTCCATGATTTGAGAGTGTCCATTTGCTCTGGCCACCAGCTCCATATTGCCAAACCCCCACATGTTTCGCCGGGCCGAGGTTCGTCATTTTTTCCGTTTGTTCCAAGCTTCATCCGAGGGCGTACACCAACGCTGTGAAAGCAGCTGAGCAACATGCTCAAGACGAACAGGCACTGCATTGCATGGCATGGACGTTTTCATCTCCAGCCGGAAGAGGGCAAGTGGCTCCCGTGTCAGAGTTAATCAATGTTAATCAGTTTTAATCAAGCCGATTCTTCAGACATTGAGTGCTGAGTGCACGGCAAGAAAATGGTTCCAAGAGGAGAGCTGCATGGGCATTGAGGGCAAGTTTAATCTATTATACTAATTGGATTTGGCTGTCGAGGATTTTGTCAGGGAATTTGCCCGATGGGCGTGAAATAGGAAAGTGCCTTTGGAGCCTGGCAGGTACAGTATTCATTTTGCTTTGCCATGGCCTTTTGTGCAACACGCTATCCAAACATAGTCTTGACCTCAAAATACACTTCAGGATCAATTGACACGCAGACGGCAGACGTTCAAAGCAATGTGTGCCAAACTAGAAGAGGCGGATTGTGAGTGGAACTGAGGTAATTAAGGCTGGAGGTTTGAAGGACTGACCAATCAGCAGGGAGTTGAGATTGATGAACTATGGCTGATGGTGGAATGGGCAATTGGTTGTCCTAAATCACTTGCCAATTTGAACTCCTTTGACTTGGTGGTTGACATGTGTCCCAATGAGTGAGGATTTCCAATATGAGTAGCCTGACTGTGATGAGTGAGTTGTTTGGTGCTGAATTCAGAAGACCGGTCACTCATCTAGCTTTCGTTTGTGGAGTCCAGTGTGTTTCCAGGGCATTTTAAGGGCTATGGCGCGATTTCCAAAAAATGAGCGGTGGCTTGGCTTGTTTTAGCTGTAGTGCAGCCCGCAGCCCTCATTTCTCCAAGTGCTGTTGCGAGCTTCTTCTTGATTTTCGCTCTTCTTCAGAGTTCCCATTGCTGGTATATAGTGATTCTGAGCAATAGCTACTGGGGAGCTTCATCCATCACTGCATGGTTCGAGCATGCCTCATGCCTGCCGTTTTGCAGACTACGGCTCTTGAGAGCAAATTAAATGATATGCAAGACAAGGAGCTGATCCCTTCTCCTATTTTCTCGGTCACAGGACCTCTTGGTTTTGATATGCTTCTGATATGCTTCCTGCTTGCGGGGGTCAGGCTTCAGGCTGAAAGTTGCGAAGCTCTTCGCAATATTGCAACTCTGCTTGCATCGGCTAGAGGCTTCAAATACAATGGTGCTCGAGGTGTTCGTGAGGTAATTACAGTCATCATTCATTTGAGTTTGTAACTTCTAGTGTGGTCGAAGTGTTGTTTTGTTTCGACTAGCTTCTCAGCAGTACTTTCACGTCGATTGATTTGCTTGAGGCTGAGATGCCAGATGGTGCTGATACCCTGCTAGGGACCAATGCCATGGAGGCTGACAAAATTGGCAAAGCAATGAGATGGACAAGATTGAACTACTGTAGGTGATGTTGTCAACCTGGCTGGGTCATTTTTGCAACGTTTGACCAAGCGACCAAGCACACTCAAACCAAGCGTCCTCGATTGTGCCCAATGAAACCCAACACGAGATTGTTTGATGACTATGCAGAGGGTTGTTCAGGGTGATCAATGGCGGGAATTTTGTCCCTCTAATCAAAGAGAGACACCAAGAAACGCAAGGAATCCCATTGAGATGATCACAAAATGCCCGTCTAGCCAAAATTGAGGCCCTTGCGGCCAAGAAGGGTTCAGCAAAGTTGGCCCGGTTGGTTTGACCGAATTAGGTTCTGTTGAATTGCTGTCCTTTTGCTTCCGTTGAATGAGCGGACGCCATTGCAGCAGAGGCGGTGCTCGATTCCATGCGAATGAATGGGCAGGCAACAAAGGGACTGCAGCTTCGAAGATTGTGAGCAATGTGAGCACAAGTTGACAGCTGAACCTGTGGAGGGAAGCGTACAGCATGTTGGATGTATTGGTCGGTGAATAGGGGAGTTGGAATCCGTGCTTCCATACTATCACCAATAGTCGTGTGATTCGTTGTTCCCGAGACAGGCCGAATGGGTCCAGCAGGCAGCGGATTGTGCGTCCTCAGCTCCATGATGATTCATGCTACGGGGCACGCATGAAGAAAGAGTGTGATTTTGTGATGATGCCGCTTCAGTCAGTTGCAGGAAGGGTTTGGCTTCATTTGCCGCATGGTGACGGAGCCGGCATCCGAAACTTGAAAGTGTTTTGTGTCCTTGTTCCGACTGAATCAAGCTTAGTGTTAGCTACGCAGCGCAGCTACGCTTCGGCTTTGCCGTATTGAATCGTTTCATGTGATGCATTGCTTATAAATTTGGTGGCCATCATGGCCAAGAAGTCTTGGATTAGGCTAGCCTTGAGGACGATGTCCAGCTGTTCCAATTCAAGTGAGTCGACCGAGAAAACTGCTGAGTCGTGAGAGACCGGAGCTCTGAGGTCCGATGGTGCTCGAGACCGGCTCTTCAAGGGAGATGGCCTTCGAGAGTGGGACTTGGACTCCCCTTTTGCATGAGGGGATTGCTGTATTTGTTCTTAAAGCTCGGGGGAGGGGGGAGGTAGGCCGCTAACAGAGGAGAAGAGGTGGCTATATATATGGTTGTCGATCTAAAGGTCCTAGTCAGCAGTGTGTATGACGATGACCCGGAACATATCAAAATCTCATTTGGCGAAAGTTTTTTCTCGAGTTGGCGAAAGTAAATTTTTTTTTGGCGAAAGATCTGGCGAAAGATTAAATATGTACTTTTGTATGAATGTTCATTTGCTTTCTGAACAGCTGGTGGCAGTGACTCAGAAGCTAGATGAGCTGTGGAAGTTAGATAACCTGCTGCTGCTGCGGCTGCTACCACTACCACTACCACT